AGGACTGCAAACTAGAAGCTCTGGAGACAGAATACTCAGCTGTACACTGGAGTTGACCAGAGAGTCACTGTGGTCAACAATTTGCCACTAGAGTGCAGGAAGAACCCGGGGTTGTATGGAGCCGTTATGATGAGGTGAGATGAGCTGCAGGGATATGATGGGTCGTTTCTGTTTTACCGGCACAGCTATTCTAGTGTGCATGACATTGGCTCATCAGCTCAGGACACACACAGACCAATTATGTAAAAAAAAAGAAAAAGAAAAAGAAGAAAAGTGGACGGCGAAAACAGAGCCTTCAACCCGGAGTGGACAGACTCGTTCATGTTCATTCTGCCCTCTGGAAACACAAAACCTCTGTGTCTGATATGCTCAGAGACCGTGGCGCTCATTAAAAGCAGCAATGTGAAACGCCACTATGAAACCAAACACAAAGATTTTGACCAATCATACCCAATCAAGTCTGAACTGAGGGCACAGAAAACTAGCAGTCTTTGAGCCCAATATGATCAGTCCACCAGGATCCTGACACATTCATTCACTGCCCAGCAACGTGCTAGCAAATGTTCCCTCAGAGTTGCTTGGATTCTGGGGCAACACAAAAAACCATTTAGTGATGGGGAGGTTGTCAAGGAGTGCATGAGTGCAGTAGCTGAAACCTTACTTGAGGGAAAACAAAAAGAAGAGCTTTGTAACAAAATAAAGCAAATACCTATGTCAGCATCATCAGCTACAAAGAAAGGTGCCATATTAATCAAAGATGTACTATCTCAGCTAGACCAAGCCACTCAGAAAGCACCGTGTGTAGCCTTGGCTGTAGATGAGTCCACTGATGTGACTGACAATGCTCAGTTGTTAGTTTATGTAAGGTTCTTCAACAAGGATAAGAACATTTTCTGTGAAGATCTGCTAGGTCTTACTCCCCTTCAGACAAGTCCAAGAGGAGAGGACATCTACCTGGCCATTAAGGAAATGTTAGCAAAGAGAGGAATAGAGCCAAAACAAGTGGTTTCAGTGATTACAGATGGAGCCCCTGCCATGATAGGGAGAGAGGAAGGAGCTGTGGTGAGACTGAAGAAAGACAATCCTGAGCTCATTGCTTACCATTGTATAATTCACCAGTCTGTTCTTTGCTCAACCGTGTTAGATGAGCATGCTGAGGTGATGAACACACTGATGAAAATGATAAACTTTCTCAGAGCATCTTCATCCTATCAGCATCACATGCTTAGGGAATTCCTCAGGTTCATCAGAAGGGAGGTAGCAGCTTTTTTGGCAGAGCTGAAGAGTCAAAAGGCGACAGAGTTTTCTCTCTTTTTAAAAGATGAGAAAAAGATGGATGATGTGGCCTTTTTGGTTGATATCACCTCACATCTCAGTCA